TTCACTTGAACTTGGAAACGGTAACAGCTGAATAAAAACCTGGGGATTTGGTCTGGTAACTTGTCCTCCACAGAAAAGCTGCCTCAGCAAGTATGGATGAGACCGTTTTGTCCTGGCATGTGCCGCGGTTAATTCTGCCATCTAACCAGGAGCAAAGACGTGGGACATTATCCTAACGCCTCCGAAAGCCCAGGGATACTTTAGCTCACACGTATTAAAAGCAGGTTGTAAAATCTCCGCAATAAGTTTTCTCACATCTCCTTGACAAGACATTTCAGCATTCGGAAAGAAAAAGACACAGAGAGGCTCTAAAAAAAAAAACAAAACAACCACATTTCAGAGGAGAGTACTGGCCAAAGCGGCGCGTGGCTCACTGTGCTCCGGGGCTGCTCGAGTCCCAGCTGCAGGGCTCTTCCCGGCCACGGAAATCCCAGGCGAATCCGAGATGAGGACACAAACCTCTACACCATTAGACTGGCCATCCTCTACAAATAAGAGATAAAATGGTACAGGTTATAACACGGGCAAGTCAGGAGATGGTAAAGCAGGGGATGGCAGAGCTCAGCTTGATGCTGGGGGACGGACGGACAGATGCCTCGCAGCAGGGTACAACCAGCTCCGCAGAGTCGGTCTGTGTGACAGCAGCCATCTGAGGATTTACTTATTTACCCCTCCCCGAGCAGGTAACGAGCCGCTTCCCATTTTGCATCGTCCTGTACCCTCCCGCAAAGCTCCGCGCCAAGGGTTTCCCAGTCTCAGCCCTCGGCCACGCAAGCTCAGCTCTACTGGAAAATCCCAGAGGATGGCAGGCAATAACGAAGTAGGCTGGATACTCAGGGTGAGTCGCTTTTATTTATCTCCTCCATAGGAAAGTACACTTCCAGGACAAATGTAAGAGACGTTACAGCAATCATTTTGCATATTAAACACAATAAATACTTATAGTTTTGATAAAACTCCTTCCGTTGCCTCACCGAGGGTCCGACAGATGACGGGAACACGCTCAGGTCAGTGCAGGTGAATTTATTTATTATTATTTACAAATGCGCAAGCACAGGGTTTAAAACCTGACAGCCAGGATTTCCTACAGCTGCTGTTCATGCAATGCCTCGGAGCACAGAGAACGCTCGGAAGGGCTCCGAGCCGCACTGTTCCGTGCCCGCTCCGCTCAGCTGCGGCGCTTTCGGAGACTGCAAACCGATGCGTAAATCACCGTGTGCCATTTGTCGTTACCTAACCGGCGCGGCTTTGCAATAAAAAGTGGCGGAGCTATTGAGCCAGCTTGCTGACAATTAACAGTAGGCATCACCACTTAAAATCCAACGCTCTGGAAATCCAATCCTACGCATTTTCCATTTGTAATTTAAAAAAAAATTAAATAAATCTCAACAGCTTTCCCAAAAGCGACACTTGAAAAGTAACCATCACCAGCCAGAGGTAATCCACGATAGCTGCTCACATGCTACCATGTCAAGCATAACACCAGCACTAAGAAGGAAGATGGTGTGTACTGGAATTGAGGGAATTGGACCAAGTTCCCTGCATTTATCTGCAAACCCTCCCAGAAGTCTGTGCTATTCATTCAAATACAGGGGAAAAAGAAATACCTGAAGCACAATGTTAGAAAAGGAATTTTGAAAAGCAGGCAAATACATTCATTTTCTAAACACACGGCTCCTTACAGCTCAGAGCGAAGGCAAATCCAAAGGGGCAGAGCTTTGATTTTTAGCCTGTGGATAATTTTCCTCTGATTTGATAATTAATATTTGATAATTAATATTGCTCAATATAGGAACAATGATTTATTGGATTTATCACAAGCTCCCCCAGCTCAGGTTCCGTTTCCTTTTCCCCTCATCCTCGACATTAAGGCCTCTGAAACCCACGGAGATGGGCAACTTTAGGAGAGACATGCCCTTGTTGCATTGCTCCTGGCCGGACCATTCCCAAGCCGGCCATCCCACCGTGGGAGATGCACTACAGCAAGATCCGAGCCCGAGGCTTTGTGCGCTTCTGCAGCTTTGGCAGGAGAGCCACGCTGCTCGGACAGCGAGAGCACTGCGCGGCGCTGTTAAAAACACTATCACAAACTAGAGAATAGGGGACAGGGGCATGAAACTTCAGGATCCATCCCATCTCTTTGTATCCTATGAAATTGGAGAATATTGTTGGAAGAGCTTCATTTCAAGGACAAAGTGCAATGAAAGAAAAAGGCTGCACATCCAAATTGTTAAATACATTCAAGCAGGAGTTTCCCAGGCCTGGAGGGACACTACCTGGCCAGGGGCAGGAGCTGTGCCTTCCTCACCGGGAAGAGACGCGCCGCATCCTACGGCAGCGAGACCTGCGCCCCATCGCTGCGGGGACCAGTGGGATGGCAGGGTTAGGGGAATGGTTGGACTTGACCATCTTAACGGGCTTTTCCAACCTGGACAACTCTGTGATTCTAGGACCACCCTGCTGCAGCGGAGCGGGAGCCAGCTCCCCAGCCAAACCTGAACCCACTCTTAGCACTTGATGTCTGCAAACTGAGGCAGTGGCCGCTTTACCTTCTTTGCACGAAACCCAGCTCTCCCTTGGACACCAGAGCACCAGGAGTGAGAGGATTTGCCCAAAGCCCCAGGGCAGTGGCAAGGAAGGAGCGGAGCTTTGCTGAGAGCAAGAGCAGGTCAGCAACGACCCCTGGCAGCCCACGTGCAGCGACCCAAAGCCTCCAAGGACACAGCTCATGCCACCCGAGCCCACCCTTAGGCACTGCCACCCTTGGGTGCTCCCTGGAACAGCTCCTGCAGGGGGAGGGAGACCACCGAGCTCCCAAAAGCGGGTGGAAGCAGCTGGGTGCTGAGGGTCACCCTGGCGCATGGGGACGAGCATGGCACCGCGTGGAGGATGCAGCACAGGCGCTGCAGGAGCCACACGCTGCCGAGAGCCGTCCCACAGCCCCAGGCAGGGACCTGCTGAGCAACACAGCCGGGTCCCCAGACAGAGCACCTAAATTGCAAAAAAACTTCTACAGGGCAAATACACATCAGCGTTGCATGTACTGCAGGAGGCGAAACACCCGATGAGCCAAGCGAGGGGCTGCAGCCGGCTCTGCCACAGCCACCAGCAGAGCAGGGGCACGGGGACGGGCCTCGGGGGTGGCAGGAGCACGGTGAAGCGAGAGCAGCTCCGGCCGTTCTGCATGGGGCGGCAGCCAAGGTTTCATCCGAGCCCCTTACTCGGAGGCCGGCAGGGAAGCCAAGGTCTCGTGGGTGATGCTGGCTGTTGGCTCCCTGGAGAGGGGGGACAGACAAGGACATGTTCTCCCCTTAGGTGGGAGAAAGACTCTCCCTTAGGTGGGAGTCCTGCTCAGTTCACCCCCATTCAGAGATACCTCCAAGGGGACCTGACGGTGAGGACTCGGTGACGACTGCCACCAGCACGGAAAGGTTTACCCACCCACGTGCTTCCCAAGCACTAAACCCACCCAGCTCCCTCCAGCCACGGGGAGCTGGGGCTGAGCAGCTCCACTCCCATCCAGGCTGCGATCCTATGACTCCTGCAAAATCCCTGAGGTAAGTATTGCCACTGCACCCCAGGCAGAGAGGAGAAGAGGCAGAAGTGGGACGCGCTCAGAACACGCCGTCTGGCTCAGCCCAGAGCACTCCCACATCCTGGGCCAGAGATGGAACAAGCTCAGGGCAAAACGCGCTTTTGCAGGCAGCCAGCACAAGCACCGACGCACCAGTAAGCCCAGCTAGAGCCCCTGGATCAGTGGGCTCAGCCTGGTAATGCCTTCCTCCCCCACCGAGGTCCTCCTTAAGGACAGGTTATTACAGAGTGACAGACTTCCTTCTGCTCCACACGCTTGTCTTTCCCCAAAGTAGTTTCCATGCAACATTAATCGAGAGAAGTCCTACTTACTAAACCGAAAGAGAGTACATACAAGCTGCTCTCAGCGGTACTCACAGGCAAGCATTTCCCCCTTGAGGCTGCAAAGGAAAAAGAAAACAGCAGAGGACAGCTCACAGTGCGGTTTAAAGGAGATTTAAAGAAAAACAGTAAAAGCAGCAAAGCAAACGAGGAAAGAAGTGAAGCAACCCCAAAGATGTCATGTCAGGGAGCTCAGGGCAGGCTTATGGTGCAGCAGGAGCTGACACAGGGCATGGACATCGCGTGCTGCAGCCCCTGGCCACCTCCTCCACTGCTGCTCATCTCCAGGGCTCCATTCAGGCGAGAGGAACTCGGGACAGCACGATCCCTATGGCCCGCACGGCTCCAGAGCCCAGGGCTTCTACATGCTCCTTCATCCCAGAGCTGGCAATGCTTCCACATTACGATGATAATCAGGTTTAGGTTGGACATTAGGAAAAATTTCTTCACAGAAAGGGCTGTCAGGCTCTGGAAGGGGCTGCCCAGGGAGGTGGTCGAGTCCCCATCCCTGGGGGGATTTAAAAGAAGGAGAGATGAGGTGCTTAGGGACAGGGTTTGGGGGTGGGATGGCAGGGTTAGGGGAACAGTTGGACTTGATGATCTTAAAGGGCTTTTCCAACCTCAACCATTCTATGATTCTATTCTATAAAGCACAACTGCAAACAGTCGGGGTGGGGATCCCCCTCCTGGGGCTGCCCAGCCTGAGACACCCACACATCAAGACCTTGGGCTGTCAGGGTCCTCTCCAGCCGAGATTCTTCATCCAGAACTGCTGTGGGCCAAACCCACGCCAATGCAAAGCCCTGTCTGGTTCAGGTCCCACCAGAGCCCCGGGATTTTGGGGATGCCTAAGCCTCACGCTTTTCCCAGAGCATGAAAACACCAGCGACGTTCACCTGTGCTGCGCTGCCCCTTCTTTTGATCTCTGGCCACTTGCTCTGCTAACAGGGAGGAGGAAAACAAGAAGCTGGGTTCACTGAATAGCTGGGAAAAGAATAACCTCTAAAGTATCCAAGATGATTTTATTTTTAAGCAGGTTTGGTAGCGATGGCTGTCCCTGCACGAGGAGCCCAGCCAAGACCCCCTCGAAGCCCCACGCACGCCTCCCCTCCGCCTCGCCTGACAGGCAGCAGCTCTGCCTGCGGTCTCCCAGGCACAGAAAAACTCCTCATTTAGCAGAGAAACAGTTTTAAATGAGCAAAGAAACAAACGAGGCTTCGCATCCAGCACTCATGAGGACCTACGTGCTTCTAAGCTAAAAGAAACGCCAAGCACCCAAACCCAAGCACCCAAATCCGAGCTGCTTTAGTTTGGGCACCCAAAGAGCCCAAACTTTGCTCAACAAGCTGCTGCCACCAGGATCTGCAGGGAAACGGGCACCAACAAAATCATGGATGCAAAGACTTCCTTAGGACCATGAGGATATTTAACTCTTCCCAATCACCTTTTTTTTTTTTGGTGGAAAGCAAGACATTACCCAGCATCAACCACCCTACCAAAATCCTATCGCACTGATGGAGACTCGCCTGCATGGAGCCTGGTTTTTGAAAGCCTCTGGCACCACAATTCTAATTCAATGGGGCAAATTTTGGTTTCGGGGGAGGTTTTTTGTGGGGCTTTTTTTTTTTCTTTTAAGTGAGTCTAATCCAGAATAATTTTCATCTGGGAACAGAGATGGTAATCAGGACCCTGGGAAGGGTCTGTATTTCAGAGGACCACCGACAACCGCGGGTGATGGCAGGGAGGGGGAGCGTAGGGAAGGTACCACCTGGACACCGACTCGCAGCTGCAGCCGGTCGGCCCCATCTCGAGCTTCCAAGGATGGGAAAGGCCCCAGCAGGTCGAGAGGCTTGCTCCCAACGCTGTAATGTCGCGGGCGCTTTACCGTGTCCGCGCTGGCCCGCGGCGTAAAGCTGTTTCTTCTCATCCTTACAGGGGTTTGGCTGGCGGGAAGGTTGTTCTGATCCCAGACGGAGGGTATCGCAAGGAATGAAAAGGGGAACCAGAGTTTAAAACCACATCGCCCACCAGCATGCACCTCCGGCATCCCCACCCGCAGCCACCCCCAGGCTCCCGGCAGTGACCCCCACATCGGTCTGCGCCGGCACGACCGCTCCACGCCTTCCCCGGCTGAGCACCAGCGGTGGTTGCTGACCCCCTCAGTCGGTTAATCTGGCTCGGCGTCTGCTTTTCTAGCAGTTTTACTTCCCATTGGGATTTTTTGCTTAGGTGGCTTCATGTCTCCCTGGTAACAGATGATAGGACAAGGGGGAATGGTTTGAAGCTGCGCCAGGGCAGGTTTAGGTTAGATATTAGGAAAAACTTCTTTATTGAAAGGGTTGTCAGGCTCTGGAACGGGCTGCCCAGGGAGGTGGTAGAGTCCCCATCCTTGGAGGTATTTAAAAGAAGGATAGATGAGGTGCTTAGGGACAGGGTTTAGTGGTGGGATGGCAGGGTTAGGTTAAAGGTTGGACTCGATGATCTTAAAGGTCTTTTCCAACCAAAGCGATTCTATGATTCTATGATTCTATGTGTTTGGTTTTTTTTTTTTCCTCCCCACAATTGATTTAGGGGGGGGAAAAAAAAAAACAAACCAATAATCAAACAGAAAACTTTCACTTCTTTGTGTTTCTTCTCCCCCAAAGCAGCCACATGGCCCAAGAAAAGCAAAGAACAGAAACAGCCTCCCACTTCCCTGCGTGGGCAGCAACGATTTCAACACAGGCATCGCACAGAAGTCGCGAAGAGATAAATGCCCAACTGGAAACCACCAGAATGGGACCAGCCGCAAAAATCTTGCCAAATATCCTCAGTTTAGCATTTTGCTGTCAGCTGGCTTTTGCTCCGCAAACCCTCTCTGCCGCAGATGCAGGTTCCTCGTTTCTCCACTCCTCGTTTATGGTCCCACGGCTCGGGGACTCCTTTTCGCTGGGACACAAAAACATCCTCATCCCAGGCAATCAGCCAATAGCTCTTTATAAAACACAACGCCAAGAGGCAGCTAAAAGCCTACATGAACCAAGAGAGCTCAAAATGTGATGTGCTTGGATCTGCCATGAGCTAAGAAAGCGGGGAGTAGGTTTGTGCTCTTGAATTGGGGGTGTTAATTGCAGGCAATCGCTACGTGGCATTCCCCGACGGAGCAGCCCCTCTGCCCAAAGAGCGTTTGCAAAAAGCTAGCGCCCGAAATAGCAGCACCTTCTACAGGTTTAGCACGTAGTTTTGTGCTTTGCTGAACAAGGTGGATGCGCAGCAGTGGGAGAGACAGGATTTCATAAATAAAGCAAGTCAAAGTCCGAGACGTTTCCACCGCTCCTGCCCAGCGCAAGGGAGGTGAATCGGACCCACCTCCTTCTGCTTGGACATATACAAAGTTTAGGAACACCACGGCCTCGCCTTGCACCAAATACTTGTAAAATGCACAGGAAATCTGTAGAAACAAGGGAAAAAACTCCGCTCCGCCCAGCCAGTGGCACGTGGCAGCCAGCCTGGCCCCCCGAGGGCTGCAAGCGCTGCTGGGAGCCACCGAGAAGCTGCCCCAGAGCCCAGCCTTACCCCATCTGCAGCTTTCAAAAGAGAAAGCTCATCAAAGCAATGAGAAAAATTCCCTTTAAACGTTTTGCTAAGTCTTTTTGAAACGATCGCAATTCATGCAAACCAGCATCAACAACAAATACGTCACTGAGAACGAGACCTGGAATTTAAAATCTACATCTTAAATTTGCTCATTCTGCGTCCTACAATAGCTCTGAAAAACATCTCCCCCTGGCCTGGGAAGCCCATTAATCCAGCCTGCAATTAATTCAGCGTTGGGGAATTATTTCTGAAGCAAGCCCTTGTGGTCACTGAAAGCCATCGGCCGCTCCTCGCAGGT